CTACCACTTGAGCTACTCTGTTTTCAGCTTTTGGTCAGTTAACTGGAGATGAGACTCATGGACTGTGTTGCCTAGGCTGTCTTTGAACCTTGAGCTTCAGATCTCAGCCTCCTGAGTGGCCAAATTACTTGTGAGACACCAGTGCCTATCTGGATTATTAGTAGTACTTTTTTTCTCTCTCTCGCTGTTCTGGGTCTTGAACTCACGGCCTAGGTGCTGTCCTGAACTTCTTTATATGCTCAAGGCTAGCAGTCTACCACTTGAGCCACAGTGCCACTTCTGGTGTTTTCTGTGTAGTTTATTGGAGATAAAAATCTTAGAGACTTTCCTGATGGGCTGGTTTTGAAACATGATCCTCAGATCTCAGCCTCCCAAGTAGCTAGGATTACAGGCCTGAGCCACTACCACCTTGTTTAGTGGTATTTTTTAACTGGAGGATTGGGGTGACAAGAGAAACCATAGAATGGATGGGAAAAACAAACAAAAACCCTTTTTTTGTGGTAGTGGGTTTCATAGTAAGGGCTTTTAACGGCTTGAGTGTTTCTCTGGCCCTGGCAACAAACTTTTTTTATGTGCCAGTCCGGGGCTTGAACTCGGGAACTGAGTTCTATATAGTTCCACTTCCAGCTTTTTGGTAATTGGAGAAAATATCATGGACTTTCCTGCCTGGGCTGGCTTTGAAGCTATGATCCTCAGATCTCAGACTTTTGAGTAGCTAGCATTACAGAGATGAGCCATCCATGCCCAGCAACTTTTTCTTCTTCTTCCTCCCCCTCTCCCCCCAGTTCTGGAGCTTGAACTTAGGACCTGGACACTGTCCCTGAGATTCTTTTTTTGGGGGTACGGTCGTGGGGCCTGAACTCTGAGCCTGGGCACTATCCCTCAGCTTTTCAGCTCAAGGCTAGCGCTCTACCACTTGAGCCACAGCGCCACTTACAGCTTTTTTCTTTTTGCTTATGTGGTGCTGAGAAATCAAACCCAAGGTCTTAGGCATGCAAGGCAAGCACTCTACCACTGAGCCACCTTCCCAGCCCCTCCCTGAGATTCTTTTGCTCAAGGCTAGCACTCTACCACTTGAACCACAGCACCAGTTCCAGGTTTTTCTATGTGGTACTGAAGAATTGAACCCAGGGCTTCATGCATGCTAGTCAAGCACTCTACCACTAAGCCACATTCCCAGCCTGCCTTTTCCTTCTTTAATTTTGTTTTTCTTTTTGCAATACTGGGATCTAAAATTAAGAACTCATGTTTGCTTGTTCATGACCTGGCTTTACTGGTTAACTGGAAATGGAAGTCTCTTAGTCTTTTCTGCCTGGGCCGGCTTGGAATCAACATCCTCCAGATCTCAGCCTGAGTACCTAGAATTTATAGGCATAAGGCATCAGCACTCAGTTCACCTGAAGATCTTAGAATTGCTGCCATTATTATTGTGTGTGACAGTATTGGGGCTCTCCTGCCTAAGCTTTGAACCATGATCCTCAGCTCAGTCTCCTGAATAGCTAGGATTACAGGCATAACCCATGGGCATCTGGCTGTAAGTTTTTTTTGTTTTGTTTTTGTTTTGGTAGTAAGGCTTGAACTCCAGGCCTGGGCACTGTCCCTCAGCTCTTCAACTCAAGGCAAGCACTCTACCACTTGAGCCACAGCACCACTTCCAGTTTTCTGGTAGTTAATTACAGATAAAGAGTCTCATGGACTTTCCTGCCTGGGCTGGCTTTGAAACGTGATCCTCAGATCTCATCCTCCTGAGCAGGTAGGATTATAGGCATGAGCCACTGTCACCTGGCTTAAAAAGTTTTAAGCAAGCATAAGACCTTTCAAATATTCCTTAGCTCCAAGGGAAAAAAAATCTTGCATGTGGCTTGTCTCAAAAGCACTCAAAAGGGCTAGGATTGTAGCTTAGTGATACAGAAAGTCCTTAGCTATTCAGATTTTGGGCTCAATTCCTCAGCATCAAAAAGAAAAAAAAAATCTTAGCATGCTGGCAAAGACTGACAGGAGGATCCTACATTCCAGGACAGCCTTAAGCTACTGTTGTAACTATGTCTTAAAAAAAAAAAAACAAGGCCTGCACCGTGGCTCACGCATGCAGGAAGCCCTGGGTTCGATACCTCAGTACCACATTAACAGAAAAAGCTGGAAGTGGTGCTGTGGTTCAAGTGGTAGAATGCTAGCTCAAGGACAGTGCCCAGGCCTGAGTTCAAGCTCCAGGACTAGCAAAAAATTAAATAATAAAAAAATAAATAAAATCCTTATGGGGTTGGGAAAGTGGCTCAACATCAGTGCCTTGCCTCATGAAGCCCTGGGTTTGATTGCTCAGCACCACATAAACAGAAAAGGCCAGAAGTGGCACTGTGGCTCAAGCGGTAGAGCACTAGCCTTGAGTTGAAGAGCTGAAGGACAAAATCCGGGCCTAGAGTTCAAGCCCCATCACTAAACAAAAAGAAAGAAAAAAGAAAAGAAAAGATGTAACTGTAGCCTGTCATCAACTTTACAATAAAAAAATTTTGTTGTTTTTTGTTTTGGGTCTGGTTGTGAGGCCTGAACTCTGGGCATGGGTGCTGTCCCTCAGCTCTTCAGCTCAAGGCTAGCACTCTACCACTTGAGCCACAGCACCACTTCTGGCTTTTTTCTTTTTGCTTATGTTGTGCTGAGGAATCGAACCCAGGGCCTCAGGCATGCAAGGCAAGCGCTCTACCACTGAGCCACCTTCCTAGCCCATACAATAAAAATTTTTTTAAAAGAATATGTAACAAAAAATACTTTAAGCCAGTGCCAGTGACTCACACTCCTACTACTCAGGAGGCTGAGATCTGAGGATCAAGGTTGAAAGCCAGCTCGGCCAGGAAAGTCCATGAGATTCCTATCTCCAATAAACCACTCAGAAAACTGGGAGTGGTGCTATGGCTCAAGTAGTATTGTGCTAGCCTTGAACTGAAGAGCTGAGGGACAGCACCCAGTCCCAAAGTCCAAGCCCCATTACTAACCTCCCTCCCACCAAAAAATGAGTACGTCCTTTGTTCTAGAATTTCCATTTTAGTAATTTATCTCAATTAAAATTTTAAGAAATATGTGCTAAAAAAAGTTTTGAAACAACAAAACAGTTTCCCAGGCCCATTTTACTAATGAAAAGTTGAAGGGAGAGCCTTCCTACAAGACAGGCATCTTGCTCCTGCAAAACAGTGTCCAGTAGGACAGTGACAACATGCCCTGGCACTCCCAAGGGGCGATTTCAACTTTATCAGCCGATATTTTGGCAGACTTTCTTGTTTTCCATCAAAACTGCTTTGCTGCTGGGCTATTGCCAAGCTCTGACTCTGACTTTTCACCACAAGTTTCTCCTGGGCAGAGCTCTTCCTGGGCACTTTTCTCCCCTATCTTCCTCAGGGAAGTCGTGTGTGTGCGTGCCTGAGTCTTGAACTGAGAGCCTGGATGATGTCCCTAACCTTTTTCACTCAAGATTGGTATTCTACCACTTGAGCCACTGCTCTACCTCTGGCTTTTTGATGGTTAAATGGAGATGAGTCTTGTGTGTGTGTGTGTGTGTGTGTGTGTGTGTGTGTCTGGCTTTTTGATGGTTAAATGGAGATGAGTCTCTTGGATCTGTTGCCTAGGTTGGCTTTGAACCCAATCCTCGTATCTCAGCATTACAAGCATAAACCTTCAGGCCCCTGGAAAATGTGGGGGGGGGACGGGAGGGGGGGGACTTGAACTCAGGGTTTTGGGCGTTATTCCTAAACGTTTTTGGTCAAGGCTGGTGCTATACCACTTGCTCCACAGCTCCACTTTAGACTTTCCTACCCGCTTCGAACCGCGATCCTGATCCACAGATCTCAGCCTCCTAAGTAGCTAGGATTACCGTGGGATCCAGGAGATTCTATTTCTTTTCTTTTTAAAATTTTATTTTTTATTGTCAAGGGTGATGTTACAGGGGTTACAGTTACATAAGGTAATAAGTACATTTCTTGTCAAACTTGTTACCCCTTCCCTCATTTTTCTCCTATTTCCTCCCGCCCCCCCCCCCTTCCCAGGAGATTGTAAATAAAAGCTTTTGGCCCACAATTCGCCTCTCGCGTATACTTTTTGACCTTTGACCTCACAAGAAAATTCAGGGGCGGGGCCCAGAAAACGACCTCTACCCAACCCTAAGGTGGTCCCAGCGCCGAGTTCCTAACCCACACCTTCACAAGAGTTCCATTGAGTCTTGGGGCGCTCCTGACCTCCGACCCCAGCCCAAACCTCTCAGAGGTCATCTCCACAGCCTGGCTCTGTAGTCGGCTTCCTGCTCCCACCTTTTCCTATGACGGAAGTCTCCTCGAACCAACAGGAGAGCCGTCTCGTCCCTTTGGGCGGAACCGAGCACCGACCAATCCCGGCTCCGGCGCCTGCCCAGATCCAAACGGCCCAATCAGCAGCGGCTGCAGGGGTGGGCCCTTGGGGAGCCAGGCCCGCCGCTGCAGCCAACGGGCGTGCACGTTGGCGCCGCGAGGGGGAGTGTCCCGCGGCGGGGCGTGCGGCAGCGGCGCAGCGTAGGGCGGTAAACAAGATGGCGGCGGCGTGTCGGGCGCGGAAGG